TCTGTTTGTAATTAGAAGAAAGATACATCTGCACCCCACTGTTTGTAATTAGAAGAAAGATACATCTGCATTGCTGGACTAGATTCGTGTGCAACGCTTTATCTAAATTTTTTTAGTCAGCACTCCTACATATCTACCTTTTTTCACATATTGCCTTTTGATTTGAAGTGACATTAAAGATACGTCTTTGTAATATGTTTTCTAGAGAATAGAGTTGTTTTGTAAGTACGTCTAATAGTTATGGTCCATTTGTCATTACCATGTATCGTGTACTTTGAGCCAACACCTTCACACTGCAGGACCATCCGTTCAAGTGCTGCGCTTGCCCTAGGAAAGCTTAGTGCATTAAGCACAAGGATTGACCCATTAGTTTGTGACTTGTTGACAAGTTTCCAGGTACTTTGCTTCTTCTTTAAGCAACAAATACATAAATTCTTAATCTGTCGATCTAGTTCTTATCTGTTTATAAAATTTGTTATATTAGGCTGCGGATTCCGGGGTACGGGAGGCCATTCTATCTGCTATGAGGGGTGTAATAAAGCATGCTGGGAAGAGCATTGGGCCTGCTGTTAGAATACGTATTTTTGATCTCCTAAAGGATCTAATGTACAAAGATGATGACCAAGTTCGAGTTTCTTCCACAAGCATGCTGGGTGTTTTATCACAGGTAGGGCTCCTTACATGTGTTGGGAACTTTTTTTGTTTCTATGGTTCACACCACAGACGTAATCCAATTTAAAACACTTCTCATGTGATGCCATTATGCCTCAAGTTTGTAGTTCTCGAACATACCTTTGTTTTTGATGTATTTTTAATGGAAGTAGAATCAGGGTTTGTTTAACTATTGAGAAAACTTCTCATGTCGATGATGAAGCCTAAGCTTCTCTCTTTCCTATTTGTGCAGTATTTGGAAGCTGCGCAACTCAGTGTTCTGCTTCAAGAAGTCAGAGATTTATCTGCTTCACCAAAGTGGAGTGCTAGGCATGGCTCAGTTCTCTGTATTGCATCTTTGCTGAAGCACAATCCTTCAACCATTACGACATCTAATCTCTTTTCCTCAATGTTAAATTCTCTTAAGAGCTCTTTGAAGGATGAGAAGGTACCTTTGTGGAAAATAAGGTTTCCCCCGTTTTCTGTATAACCTTCTTATGATATTTGTCTTTTGTATAGTTTCCATTACGTGAAACCTCGACAAAGGCCTTGGGAAGGCTTTTGCTACATCAACTTGCAACGGATCCTTCCAACACAAGAGTGGTGATCGAGATCCTTTCATCGATAGTCTCTGCTTTGCACGATGATTCGAGTGAGGTCAGAAGAAGAGCACTCTCTTCACTTAAAGCTTTTGCAAAAGTAAGTCGGAGACTCCAGCAGTCGTTTCGAGTTGATTTATTCGTTAGTGACAGGAGCAACAGTAATATCAAGACGTTTTCTTATAGGATAACCCGACAGCAACCATGGCCAATGTGAGTGTTATTGGTCCTCCTCTTGCTGAATGTTTGAAGGATGGAAGCACGCCAGTGAGACTTGCTGCAGAAAGATGTGCTTTGCACGTGTTCCAATTAACCAAAAAGGGTATTGAATTGGCATAACTTCTCTCATGAAACGTCTCAATTTTTGAGTTTTAAGCTATTTATGACCAATATGTTGGCAAATTTTGGTTGCATATGGCATGTTTCTGTTTCTTGCCGTCTTTCTGAAAACTGCAGCAACATCGACATATTTTACTAATTTGCTTTTATCGGTCTCTTCAGGCACTGAAAATGTTCAAGCAGCTCAAAAATATATTACAGGATTGGATGCCCGACGGTTATCCAAGTTACCTGAACAAAGGTACATAATTTTCCTTAGTAACGGAAATCAATTTGCAATAAAATTTCCACTCTAGAGATCCAGAGTTCTTTTTAATCCTGCATCTGTAACATAAAACGATCCAGGATATTGCTTTTCCTTATTTTATTTAGAATGATGAACCTAGAAAGTAGGGGAAAGGTTTAACACCTGGGGACAAATGCCTGAATCTTTATGATGACTGAACATTTCTTTCTATGGGTACAGTTTGCGTGGATTCACTTAAGTACAATTTGTTACATTTGCAGTGATGACAGCGACGATAGCGAAGATGATAATGGAAGTGGGTAGGCGGAAACTTGTGGGCACGCTCATTGGCTTTCCTCAGAAGGAGATTATCCCGTGAGTGGCGGATAATACTTTTTATCTTTTTTCCTTGCCATGAGAATATAGATACGAAGAGGTTGACACAAATTATTACCTGATTTTGGATTTTGTCAAATCCTTATCCTTCTGTTTGAAATGGCCAATGGTTTGTTCAATTGTATTGTATATCATAAAGGGTACATTTTATGCGACGTTAGCATGTTTGATAATATTTTAAAACAATGATATATTTAAATAAAAATCTTCAGGAACATTATTATTTGAAAAAATCTTTAATAATTAAATCTTAGAAAACACCAAAACAAAATACTAGAAATTGTAGGTGGTGAGTTGAAGAATGCACATAGAAAGGGGAAAGATGAAAGTCACAAAAGAAGTGTAACAATACTAAAAGTCTAAAATCGAAATTAGAAACCCTATTATTTTATGGGAGAATTAGTTTTATAATGCAAATTTAATTACAATTTGTTTTTTTTTAAAATATCTGTCTTTTTTAATGTTTAATTTAAATTTAATCCAATTATACCCTTTAATTTCGTATTAATAAATTAATTTATTTTTAAAAATATTTTAAGAATAAAAAAAGGAAAAATAATCCATCTTCTTCACCTTCAAGTCTCCATCTCCTCCAAGTCACCTGCAAACTGTAAGTAAAACATATTTCTTCTTCTTCTTCCTTGTAACAGCTGTCAGCCTACGGGAATTTCTAGAACTTATTAGGCTCTTTATTAAACGGTTTTATCTGCTTTTGTTTAAGCTCTTTACTAATTAGTTTATGAATTGGTCTAAGCTGCAACTGACCTACTGGCTATACTGATTGGAATAACTTATCATGGAAGTTAGGTGACCAGATTGGTCATTTTGTTACATCTGAATTTTGAAGTCGCTTGTGTGATTTCAGGCCAGAGCTCTCATCACAAGGCTCACCGAGGAAAAGAACTCTGGTGTTCAACTGAATAACAAACTTCAGCAAGAATTGGTAAGAAGCTTTTTCATATGATCCTTATATTTTTGAACTATTTCTCTCTATAATTTTCACATGCACTTTCTTAGCTAGTAGTTTCCCTGGTATCTGAGAAGCAGCCATTTTCTTGGTTTTTTTTTTAACTAGTACGAAGATTTTAGCTCATCATTTTCGGTGGCCTTTAATTATGTATGTTTTATTGGTATCATTTCCTCCCTACAGTGTCTATGCCATTTTGTGTAGTTCGTAATTCCCATTTTACGTTTTGTTCATTATTTTTGTTTTAGTTAACTTATTTTGCTTGATTTTAGTTAAGTTTTTAAACCGAACCTGCTTTCTAGATTCACTATTGGATACTGCTGGTTTAGACATGTGCAATTACCTTCGTGTGTTGTTTTTTTTTTCCTTCTAAGTTGAATTCGTTTATATGTGCGTGGGTCAAAATCAGAGATCAAGTATTTTTTTAGTTATTTGTCGTGATGAAGTTGAAGCCAAATTTTTTGCCATGTATTTTTTTGTTTTTATTCGTAGGTATGGACGAGGAACTTCCGAAACTGCTTTTCGAGCCTGGTTTTGTGAATGATATTGACAAGATCAACAATCGATGCATTCTTAACACAATGGACCCCGTTAAGAAAGCACTTTCAGACGAATACAAAAAAGTTCTGCTAGACCCTGTCTTTGGACCTGTTTTGTCGATTATCGAGAACGACATGGGATATTCAGGGCGACTAATCCATAGCTTTCTGTATAAGGAGCTCATCACCGACAAGAAACACGAGCTATGGTTCGTGTTTGCGGGGAGACCTCTTCAATTTTCTCTGCAAGAATTTCATGCGATTACTGGACTGAACACGGAAGACGATAAGACTTGTGATTTCAGTGATTGGGTTGATGATGGCGGGTTCTGGAGTAAGTTGTTGAGAAGCAAACGTGGAATTACTTTGTCTAACATAGAAACTAAGTATCTTGGAACACAAGGTTTTCTCGTAAAAGAAAAAATATTCTACAGGAACTTTTTAAATTAGAAATTTAAAAATAAAAAAGTCGTTTTTTTGGGGTTTAGGAACCCTGCATTTTTTGGGTTAGAAAGAAAAAAAAAAAAACTGAAACTACGTCTAGGGGTAATTGAACCAGGGTCTAAGAGAAGGAATGAGCACAAGGGGAACCAATAAGAAATCAATAATTGTATACAAGCAATATGTTTTCACTATGTGAAGTCGTTTTTATTTAAAAAAAACTGGAACTACGTCCAGGGGGTATCGAACCCGGGTCTGAGAGTAGGAGTGAACACAGGGGGAACCAGTAGAGCTATTGTAATAAATCAAAAATTGTATTCAAGCAATATGTTATAACTATGTAAAATCGTTTTTATTTTAAAAAAATGGAACTCCGTCCAACGGGTACCGAATCCAGGTATGAGAGAACGAATGAGCATAGGGGGAACCAGTAGAGCTATTGTAATAAATCAAGAATTGTTTCCTTGCAATATTATTTAACTATGTAAAGTCGTTTTTATTTAAAAAAAAACTGGAACTCCGTCCAGGGGGTATCAAACCCAGGTCTGAGAGAACGAATGAGCATAGGGGTAACCAGTAGAGCTATTGTAATAAATCGAAAATTGTTTCCTTCCAATATCTTTTAATGTGTTTATTTTTTTTTTCTTAAAAAATCTCTGAAATCCCATACGACTTGTTAACCCTGAAATTCATCACATATCGTACAAAGCATCTCTAAACTACCTCCAGTTTGGCACTTAAAATTGAAAATCAGTACAGAATTTGTCTTTCATAAAGTGAAAATAAATAAGAAAACCGAATAAGCAAAACGAATAACAATAAAAAAAGAGATAGAGAAGAGCCTATATTGGCATGTCACATGTCCCTCTCTTATGTCCTTCGATACCACAGCGACTGCACTTGTGCTTCTTAGACCGTTGTGATCCTTGGGACGCTCGTATCTTGTCTTCCACACTTTCATATCGTCGTTTTTTCCTGCGTCCTGCTGCTCGTCGTGATTCCGGTTCTACAACTTTGGCATGTTCAACATGATCAGGGACACACCAATCATCCTCTGGACCTGCAATTGGATTAATGCATTCCTCATAAGCTGTTCTCCATGCCTCAGTAGTGTAATAATGATCGGTGAGAATGTGTATCTGCTGGTTCACAGAAAACGCTGCTTTAATTGCATGCCGACACGGAATTTTAAGCAAGTCGTACTTGCCACATGAACAAGTTCTTCTGTCCAAATCAACAAGACAGTCATATTTGTCACCTTTGACCAAAAATCGATCCTGGCTAACTGGGTAAACAATGAATGGTTTACCCTTATCAATCCTTCTCTCGATCTTCGTCTCAACCTCAACTGTTAGAGGAGCCTGATGCTTTGAGCTAAGTTTTTTACGCTAAAAAAACCAATTGGTTAACATTTCTCTGATGCTGTCGAGTAGAGGAATAACTGGGTACTCTCTAGGAGTTAGCAATTTATTATTTATCGACTCAGCTGGGTTAGTGGTTCTAACATCATACCTAAATCCGGGGAATTTGCATCGTGCCCATTTCTCAACACCAGCGTCCTGAAGATACTTTCCAACAGCTGGACTAATAGAACAAATGGCAGCAAACTTGGTATCAAAAGCAGAAACTCTGTACTCTTTAGAAGCCTTCGCAATCAAACCAGTCAAACCCTGTGTCTTGAAAAATGTTATCACATTATTCAGCAAGTGGTGGATCCAGATACCATGGCTAGATTGTGGGTACACTTTCTCAAGTGCTTTAATTACAGAAACATTTCTATCTGACACAAAAGCCAAACGCACCTTATCCGCAATGACAACTTTTAGTTGCCTCATAAACCACTCCCAAGACAGGTCGTTCTCTGAATCGACAACCCCAAATGCGATCGGATATAAGTTCGAGTTGCCATCTAATGCTGTAGCAACGAGCAAAACTCTTTTATATTTATTTTTCAAAAATGTCCCATCCACAACAATCACTCTGCGAATAGCTTTGTAAAAACCTCGTACTGATTGACCGAAAGAGAGGAACAGAAACTTGAAACGTCCAGTAATGTCAGTTTCATACTGCGTATGGATTCCTGGATTCGCTTCTTTCAGCATGTGCAAATATTTAGGAATTTTGGCATAGCTTTTCCCGGGAATGCCTCGAACAATACTAATCGCATACTCACGTGCTTCCCAAGCATGGTCATAAGAGATGTCACATCCATGCTCTGTACGAATAAAATGAATTATTTCTCTAGGGCTAGGTCCTGCATTAGCACCCTCAAACTTATTCTTAATCAGATTACCAATAGTTTTTGCTGAAGCTGTCCTACCGACTACGTCTTTATTAGAAGGAGCGCATGTATGTTGAGCGACATACTTGTTGATTCTGAAATACTCTGACCCTTCAAGACACTGTGCACGAATACGCCAGTTGCATGACTTCTCTTTGCAGCGGATACACCACACATGTTTGGTTGATTCCAGTACGTTGTAGTCAAAATTATACTTCATCGCAGAAATTTCCAAAAAAGCCTTCAACTCTGTTTTGCTTCTAAAAATTTGATCTTTCTTTACGACATCAAGCAAGTTAAGCCGAACGTTTTGCTCACCATCAACTTTTTTCTCAACCATAACGGGTTCATCAAACTCTTCCTCAACTTTATGGCCAATGCCTCTAATATCATCATCGTCTGACTTCACAACCTGGTCGTTTTTAATACAGCTTGAATCAGAGGCTTTCATCATCAATTCGATGTTAATCGGAATCTCAGGATGTTCAGCGTACGCAGTGAATGTCACACACAGATTTACCGAGGTTTTATTCCTAGAGTACCCAACAAAATTTTTGAGCTGACGATCATTAGCGATACTCACTGGTGGAGAGCCTACAGTATCAATCAAATCACTCGGTAGATAACTAAACTCAGCTTTGTGATCGACTACTCCATAGTCTTCTAGAACCATTGTTTCTAACTCTGCGAGAGTCGTATTTGATTCAACAGCAACTAACCTAGCTCGTTTTTCTCCATCAGCCACAAAAACCCACTTCTTATCTGTCCCTGATTTCCGTGAACCACAAGTCACATAGATATGTAGCATGTTTGAAGCAGACAATATGTAATTTTAGGAAAAATCTGCTTAATCAATGTGAAAGAAGAAGAAGAGAACGATGACAGCCAAAAAAGGGAAAAAAAACGTCGTTACAGCATTATTCTAAAAAAAAAAACGTTGCAAATTAAAAAAAAAACAGATTTTCGAAATATTTAAGATCTAGAAGTTAACTAATTTCCCTAGATTTTCTCAGATTTTGGTAGAAGATGTATTCTACATTAATGTAGAATGCAGTCTAACTGGTAGAAGATGCATTCAACGTTAATGTAGAATGATGTCTATTAGGTAGAAGATGCATTCTACAATAACGTAGAACCTGTCTAACAGGTAGAAGATGTATTCTACTAACATGTAGAATATAGTCTATCTAGTAGAAGTTATAATCTATCAATCGGTAGAAGTTATAATCTATCAATCGGTAGAAGATATAAAGACCTATAGAAAATGACTTCTACTAGCTGGTAAAATATGTGAAGAACTATAGAAATGGGATTCTACGTGGACGTAGAACATAGAACATGCATTCTACCAAGCGTAGAACGAATTTTATAAATATTTTAAAAATATTTTCTTTCCATAAATGATATACGAAAATATTTTAAATTCCTTTTTAGGTATTTTCGAAATTTTTAAAATATAGTTTCGAATTTATTTTTAATTATAACTGCCATAACTGATTTAAAAGGGCAACTACGTCAAAAAGTGACAAAAAAATAGAAAACATTAAGGGGACAAATGTTAATTCAATTGACATTATAAAAGCAATTCTCCCTTATTTTATTTAAAATATAAAAGTTAAAAAAGTAAAATAATTAAACAAAATTTGAACATTGAACGTAAAAAAAGAAAAAAAAATACGAAGAACATGATTTTTCTTCTAACACTGATTTACTATCAATCCATTTCAAATTATGAGAAATTATTACAATTACGATTCTATAATAGACAATTTATCCCCTAAAAAAAGATTTAAATGTATTTTATAATTGAATCTGGTTTTTATTGTTGGATGGTTTGTTAGTTTCCTGTTTTTTTTTTTGTGGTTTCATCTGTAGTTCTTTAACAAATTTCATTTTATATATAACTAGGAAAGAACCCGTGCTACGCACAGCTTATTTTATTTATGTTTTTAATTTTCTAGTTCAACTATCAATTTTTTTTTTTTTTTTGTGATTTCCTTAATATTGTTTTTAACTTTTTTCATTGATATCTTAATCTAGCAATCATTTGAAATATCAATCTAGCAATATCAAAACTTGTTCTTCAATTGTTTGAAATTCTCAACCTATTATTTTTTTTTAAATTTTCATAACTTATTTTTTTCGATCATTTTTACTTTACTTTACCATATTCATGTTCTGTTTTCACATAGTTCATTGATTCTATTTATTTGTTATCATATTATTTTTTTTCTATTTTGTCAATGTTATGTTCTCTATATTTTTGATAATTTGTTATCTTTTTGATTATTTAATGAATGTTCTTTTGTGTTTTGTCGTTTTCTAACTCAAGTTTTTCAGTTGTTTGAAATTTTTTTAATCTATTATTCTCATTTTTGGTTTCATTACTTATCTTTTTTCTTTATTTTTTATGAATAAATTATCTTTTTAATTAAAAATATTAATATATTACATAGAAAAAAGAGTAGACAAAACTAAAATCTCAAATTATTTTGTTTTATACATTATGATGTTTAATTTAAATTTGAATTTAATTTATATTATTTTGATTATTTAATATTTTTAACATAATAAAAATTAAATTTAATTTTGTTTATGCATTAATATTAGAAATTATTTGTTGGGACAGATGTCACTTTCTCGAGTGATGATGTGTCACTCAGCTAGAGAGAATTGAACAACTTTTATATATAAGATTTGATACCAATCATACCTGGATATGTTATCGATTTCGATTTGTAGTTTAATCTGGTCGTAGCACTAGTCTGGTCCGGTTTTGAAAACATTGCTAATTAACCAAGGAATAGTGTAGATTTTAGAATCGGTTTATTTGTTTACATATTTAAAATTCTTGGGTCTCTATAAAGACACTACTACAATATTATGTTTCCCCTGTACATACTGTAGAATTTATAATGTTAAGATTATAATATTTTATTAAAAAAAATTAAAAATCAGTGTTGGGAGATGATGCACTGGTCTACAATCAGGATTAAAAATCCGAAGTTACACCGCCAGCGGTCCCTTAATTCAGTAGGATTACTTGAGTTATAATATATATATATATATATATATATATATATTATTAATTTATCATAATATTAAATATCTATAAACTAATAATGTTAACATACCTTGTCGGGATAAATTCAATATTTTTCACGTGAACAAACAATGTGAATACATATGGCTGATGCTGTTATGATGAGGTGGTCGCAGATGAAGTTTTAAATTTATAAACCTTAGTTTTCCTATAATAAGTGCATAGCTGTGCAATATAGTACTTAGTTACGATCCTAAGAGAGATTATCTACTCTACAAAAACTTCAAACTGAGATTAGTAAACGAACTAATAAACTTACGGAGCTTTTGTATAAGGTTTTTGGTGTTACAGAAAAGATAAAGTAAAAGAAAAATAAAACAAATTCCTAGACCTAATCGATATAGGCTTAAAAATAATAGAGAAGTAGGGCTGGCAAGGATATCTGAGGGGATGCAAAATTCATCTAAAGCTTATAAGGTGATTTAACATACTCCTGAATGTCCTAATCGATATCTAAGTATCTTTCAATTAGCCTATGGTCGTTTGTCTAATCGATTTCTAAGTATCTGCATGGAATTAGTATAAACACTGATATAGGTAGCCAACTGTCGTCATCCTAACCAACTAATCACTCAAACTCGACCAGTAGCTTTAGTCTCTAGTCGTGAGATAGATCATGCATTAGCTAAACTGAATTCATTCTTGCTCACAGGTTTTTTTTAGGAAGCTTTCGTCTCCTACAGCGACTATGTTATTCTGAAGCTATATATGGCAATCTGATTCATCACTGTTGTGGCTCTGATTAAACCTAGGTCAGAGATTAGTTCATCACTCTAACCTCATGCATTAAGTAAAACTTAGAAGAGGTGTGATCTAGAATATGGCTAAGAAAATAACAATCCTAATTGAACATGTTGATCCTCATCTTTAGATCCTTTAAACCCAACTACTAAACTACTATAACATGATGCAAGAAAAGAAAATCATAATAGATAGATGCATAAACTGAAATAGATAGATAAAAAGGTATAACAAAGGGTTCAAGGGAAGAATCCCTATCTCCCTGACCTAAACCTAAGAAATAAAAGTTTAATGGCTCAAAAACTCATTACTCAGCACACACCTGAAATAGCTAAAATAAGTATTTGTAGATCTTCAAGTCTTCTAGGTCGTCCTTAGGGCTTTCTTTGAAGAGAATTGCAAAATGGGCTTGATGTTGAGCCTCAGGGCCGAGATAAGCTGTGCTGCGGGTGAGAGTCTCCCGGGACTGTTGGACTGAAGGTCCAGTGCGGGTGAGAGGCGTGAAGCGCGGCCAAACAGATGTTTGCCGCGAGTCAGCTGAATGTTGGACTAGTTGACGAGATATCTTGATCTTCATATATCTTTTGATTGAACTATGGGATTGTCCTTAAGTAAAGTGAAATGGAAAGTCAGCTGGGTCCTCTTGAATGTCTCCAAATTTGAGCTGGATCAGACGGTGAGAAAGTCTTCATTTGAGACTGAACTTCTAACTGTTTGATGCTGAGCTAAAAATGTGGGTTTTCTCCATTTGCAAGTTTTTTTCCTAAGTATCCTGAAAAGAATCTTGAAAATAAAAATAGAGAAGAATCATTATAAAAACACTTAAAAGTAATTGAAACATTTGAATTTGAATTTGCAATAGAAATTCTTATTAGAAATGGGTAAAAATACGGTGTTATAAACTCCTCCAGACTTAAACTTTTGTTTGTCCTCAAACAAAACAAGATCCAAGCTTGGAAAACCTTTTAACAGAAATTATAGGAAACTCAAAATCCCAAAGACTATACCTCTAGACTAATAATCATTGAAATACATCTACCACAACCTAGCAGAGAAAATTCTCACCAAAGCAAGTATGACACTAGTCCATTGTTCTATCATGCAAAATCTAAATAACCTAGATCTCAATTATGGTCAACTAGCTTCTCCACATTAATTAAGTATGAGCATGAATTCTCAATAAACATATCATCAAGGATACACGGCGTTCCGTAATGAGAGGGCATCTATTTAAGTGGTGGAGTTAAAGTGTTTGGGGTTACCTTTGAGCTTAGGAGAATGCAATACATTATGAAAAATCGCAAGAGAGAATGGACCTGTTGATATCCACAACTATTGAGATAGCCCAAATAGAGAAATAAAGAATGGAGGGTCTGGACTCTAGTATCGGCCCATGAAGGTTTGCTACGGCCCATAGAGGTTTCCCACACTCAAATATGACCGTTAGAGAAGAAGAAGAGACAAAGAAAAGTGGTTAGAATCTTTACCTCTGGAGTCAAACAAACGACCTGTCACTTTCAGCCTAGGGATTGCTCTTTTCTCTCTCCTTTTTGTCTTGTGTAGCCCCGCAAATATCTTCTAGGGTTTCTAGGATCCATCCTGTCTTTCTATATATGTAATGCGACTTATGTATTCAAGTTAATGAGAATGGAAAATATTTTTCTCATCAAACTCTCTTTCTTCTTTACATTTCCGCGATAACTCTCATCAGTATTCTTAAAATCTCACATGGTATCAGAGCGATGATCCATATTCTTCATCTTTGATTCTCATTTCTCTTATATTCTTCTCTAAACATCTCGCTAATCTCTCGCATTCTCTCATTCTTCATCTTATTCTTCATTTTCTTGAACTCATTTCTCTTTTATTCTCCAGGAACTCTTATTACCCAGCGGTCCTTCACTTCTTTTCTTCATGTCTACCGATATCTCCATGGAAACTACAAAAACTGTGGTGATTCCTGT